GTGAAAATAAAGTATTCTACAGTAGGTAGATTTATTTTGTGGAATGTGACGATGGTCAAAGTTAGGCGTTCAAAGGAAAAGTCATGTTAGTCGGGAACTACAGGACGCTGGTAGTAGTGCAGAAACAGCCACACACGTCTACTCACCCATCAACGGCTTTATAAAGCAAGCAAAATAAAATAAAAATCTATTAGTCTAAGGAAGCATTTAAATGAATGATTTCATATGAGTACACACATTAACAGAGAAGCATTTATGTAAGCAAAATACAAGGAAATTACTAGCGAACTATTTCTAAATATGATAACACAATGTAGCGTAAAACTAGTTTCATTTAACAGTTATATGAGATGATGTTTCAGCAATAGCGCCACCACATGGTGAGAAAAAGAGATACTTACCATTCTGGGGTTTCATCTGTAAATAATCCGGTTTTTTACAGACTAAGCTTGGTTTATCACTGTTGATAAAATAAAAACAAAAGTCATTAATCATTTATGTAAATTATATTTTGCTTACTTTAAGAAATAGACAGTTGGCAGTTCTTGGCAATGAATGACACTGTTATCTTTCACAATCACTTAACTACATATAAGAAAATAATTTCCTGGGTATAATAATAACCAGTGACTTTCAGCCCAATTTGTTTCCTGTATGCATTTAACTATTAATATTTACATTAATTATTAAAATCAATTTTATACCAAGGGAAGTTTCGAGCTGGACTGAAAGGTTGCTACCATTGGAAAACGGCAGGTGCTGTTGATTGCTTGTACAAGTTGTTAGTGACATTTGTTGCCATGGGGACATTTGTTGCCATGGTCACAAAGTGCAAGCAATCAATCATGATACAGAATATATTATTATTTGTTAATCTGTTTTACGTTTAAATACATCATTGTAAAAATTCGCATTAGAAACTCGCTCAACTAAATTAAAATTATTTTTTAAAACTTCTATCAAAATCATGATTCATATTAATACCAATACACAGCTAATGACGATGAGCACAGTTCTAAGAAACGATGAAATATTGGTAGTTTTAAAAACACAAATCAAAGTAAAAAGAAAAGAAAAATTGCAATATATTCCAAATGGAATTTGTTTGACAAATTGTCTGTATGCCCCCACAATTTTTTTTTTTTTACTTTTGTATTTAGATGTTATTCATTTTACTTATAGGAAGGTGACATCCAATAATCAATTTTGTTCTCAACTGAATTGACACAGGAAATTAGTGTTATTTTTGTACATGCATTGTTAAAAGGAGCAGAATTTTAAAGCCACAATATGGCTTAATTACTTGTCAAATCTACCAATAAAACCACGTTGTTGAACAAAAGTATTCCCATTATTAATATTACAGTTTAGAAGAAAGACAACAGATACAGTGAAATGGGTCGCAATGCCGTGGTTCAAATATTTCACCGACATTTGGAGTCATTATAAGAGAATTAAAATTTAGTTATTATTTATGTAAAATTGTTATTTTATCTTGCAGCATCTAAAAGTAATTTTTTCCTTTGCTCATACATGTATTAGAGAGGACAAGACAAATATTTCACCATATGCTCACCTTGTATCAATGGGTTATTGGGAATAGTTATGATTGCTCTAGTATGCATGTGGCAAATCCCACAGAAAAACACCGTACATGAAATAAATATTCGCAAGTTTTGTTGCATGTTCATGTTGCACCACACAGGCAGAATTTGATATTGCTTAATTTGAAAAATTGTATGAATAATATTTTATGGAAAATTACAAATTTTAAACATAGCGAAACTATTACAACCTTGCCCATTAAAGATCAAGATTAAATAAATAGATGGATGGATGGATACAAATTAGCGATGCACGATCTTCTATTAAAAACTTGTAACAATGCATTAATATATCTAAACATTTTGTACGGAAAATACTGGCTAAAATGTTCAAGAACAATGGAGTCATCATAATTGTATACATGTAATATTAATTTTTTCTCAAATAATACTACATGTACTGTATTAATCTCAATGTCCCTTATAGAATAATATATAACATGAATTGTAAAAAAAAACATTCTAAAAAATAGTGCAGAAATATCTACAAGCAAAATCGGGCTGGATTGATGGAAAAAGTACTGCTAAATGAAAATTGCACTTCCTAATCACACCAAAATTCAACTTAAGATTTTGTTGATGAGATTTACAACCAAACCAAAAGAAGAAGATAATTTTAACCAAAATCAAACTTGACTAAGATCCCAAACTGGTTAATATAATATCCAAGTTTTAAAGAAATTGGGTAAAAACTGTTCATTGTATTTTATTAAACCACAAGAAAAAGTGTTATCACAAAGTCGACAACAACAAGGACAGACATTTTCCCTACATCAGAGATGATTCTAATATTGTGGTTTCAGTGATACTTACTCTATTGGTGGAAGACCAATTTTCATAAAATGTTTCCAGTCTTCGGTGAATTGCGGAGAGAGCTTAGATTTGCGTGTGTGATATTTCAGTACCTTCATTAAAACGGGTTCCTTTCTACACCTGAAAGGCAAATAGAAGAGACAAAACTGGTGAGAAATTCAGAATTACATTCAATTTACAGACATAACTAAGAAACCTTACACACTGACCAGCTGTGGCAATTTTATTATCCTTTTTTTCTTATAAATCTTGTGTTGAGACAAAAACAACACGACTGGTTTATTCCGAGTCATACACATTGTTATTAAATATTAGCGATATACAGTTACGTTATGAAACCCGAGATAACACTTCTAAAAGAGACAAGTCATTGTCAATGACACGTCCCCGTTCCGTTCATATTTGAGTGACATATACATTCAAAGCAGATCATGACCGAAATGCACCTGCATATGTACAACACATTGTGCTAAATCTGAACAAAATCCATCCATGCATGACTGAGATCCGGTTCTGGAATTGTGAAAATACGTGATTTTGATGCATTTTCGGCCTTAAAATGGCCATCATTCCGCTATTGTTTAATAAGCAGATCATGAAACAAATGCACATATCTATTTGTGACATGATGTACCATGTGTGTGTGAAGTTTGAACTTGATCAATCCAGACATGTCTTGGATACGGATCCAGAACTGAATTCTTTAACAAAATGGCCGCCAGTCGGCCATTTCGAACTTGATCCGAAAAAAAAAAAGACGTGCATCAAGCTCCTATTATGTTTAATGTATGTACCAAATTTGAACAAAATCCATCCATGCATAACTGAGATACGGGTCCGGAATGGTGAAAATGTGCGATTTCAATGCATTTTCGGCC